GAAGGGAGCGCGCCACGGGGCATCAGTAACCCAAAGGCGACCCAGGGACCCAACGCACACACACATCCCAGAGCATCAAACCGACCTTTCCTCAGTGAGGGCCACTGAAGAGGAGCGTCCAGCACCAATCTGGTGGCCCAAAATGGCCAACTACAGCAAAAGAAATACCAAGCCAGAAGATGGGGCGACGGCTTCTCCCCACGGGGCACCTCCCACCATCCACCCCCCAACTGCCTTTTGACTAAAGACCTGCCACGGGACCCCATAGCTCTCACTCCCGGAGGTCCTGGGACACTCTGGTCAACCTTCCAGAGGGGGCCCAGCGAGCGTTCGCGGGACCAATGCACTTCACGATCACTGCGGAGCATGTGCATGGGGATGATGACCACTGAGGTCACGCCGCCTCTAACAGTCCACGTCTCATGAAGGGCAGAGGGGGCACCTAGTTCTCAGGTGACTGGAGCCATCCACCAGGTACGTTTCCCAAACCCCAAGTGGATATTTGAAAAACATACAGTCGGTTTTTACTGTGCGTATGGACACTGACTTCCTCGGCAACCGGGAGCCACCAGAGCTGCTCATTAGGCTCCAAGTTAGGACATGGAACAATTCTGTTGTCTTTTACGGTCTGGGTCTTCACCCTTGCATGGGTGGTCGCTGCGGGTCCCTGGGACAGAATTTCTACTTCTCAGCCGAGTGCGATCCCTGAAGGCAGGTTCCCAGGAGCCCTGGTGCCACAGTGATTACACACGCTGGGCTGCTCACCGTGTCAGGAGTTCGCAACCACCAGAGGCTTTGCGGGAGAAAGGATTTTCTACTCCTGTGAAGAATTCTTTTGGAAACTCAACGGAGCAGTTCCCTAATGAGTCTGAATCCACTAAGGGCCCATCCTAGGAACTCACACGTGCGTGCGTTTAGAAATAACCGCTACCTCCTGCTGGTCCGGCTTCACTAAAAACGTGCAGTGCACCCCATCTCCTTGGGCGACCGCGAGCCACCAGGACCGGTCTGAACCAAAAATGGGGTCTCTCAGATTCTCAGTAGTCTGAGATAATCAACTAAGATTCTCAGTAGTCGCCTCTGATGGTGCCAGCACTACTTGTGGCTGAGGCTCCTGAGCCCAGGTAGGGTTACAGTGCGCTTCATGGGTCCCTCCAAATGGCAGATAGCCCATGGGAGTCCCTGTGGATGAACGCGCTGTCAGTGACCTGGGTCTGGTCCGCGAGGTGACAGCAGTTGAGCGCCCTGTGCTGGTCGACCAAGCCTGCTGGACACAGACACCGACAACGAGAGCGGCTGTGAGGCCCGCAAACCTGGAAGGCTGCAGGTACAACCTTGGGCCACCGCTCTGTCAACGCTAGGTTGACCCAAGTGACCCCACCAGCGTCCTGGAACTTTGTGGCCAGCGACACAGGCCTTTCACATTCCATCGCTTTGGTGACAGAGCTCCGGAGAGAACGTGAAAGGGGCCGCTAGGTGGCGGACGACAGGCGTGACGGGTGACAAAAAGGATTTGGAAAATATGAAAAATAAAATTTTAAGTTAAATATTAACTTAAACTAACACAATTAAAATAAATATAAGGTACAGGATTATGTAAAATTATTTAAGTATAAAATTAAATATTCTATTAAGTAGATTCTTTAAGTCAAACATTGTTTTACATTAAATTTATTAAAATAAGTTCTATGCAATACTATGAAATAATAAACACAGAAAGTGAAGCCTTTAAACAAATAAAAGAAAATAAATTAGTAAAATGTGTTTCAATTTCGTATAGCATTAAATTTAATTAGATATATACTGTATTGCTTTTGGTTTACTATTTTCCTAGGCAATGGCAGGTCTAATGGTGTCCATTTGGCCTTTCCTACCATTATAGCCCTTATTCCACATTTCAGGGATCCAATATGGGGGTTCTGCCAGTTACTAAGTATGTCTATTCCAATGATGCATTCTGGAACTGGGGAAATAGCCACAGGATGGGTCCGGGGGGGCCACTGGACCCACAGTGAGGCATTCCTGAGCTAAAACCCCATTGATAATTTGACCCCCATAAGCTCCAACTCTAATTGGTGGGCCTTCGAAACACTTTGGGTCTCCTGGAGTGAGTGTCAGTTCCGAGCCAGTGTCCAGTAATCCCCCAAAAGTTTGATTATTTCCTTTCCCCCAATGAACAGTTACTCTTGTGAAAGGCTGCAGGTCCCTTTGGGGAAGGCTAGACGAAAGACTAACGGTATAGACCTTTGCTGATGTAGCAGGGTCCTCCTTCAAAGGGACTCGGCCTCCCCCTCATTCAAGAGGTTGTGGGTCTGTAAACTGGCTCAGGTCTG